CTTAATTTAGGATTATTTCTTTTTAGGATAGAACGAATTACCCTACCCAGTGACCAATGAACTAAAAGATCGATAGCAAATCACACTTACTGCATTCTCTTAAAACAATGCAGAAGGAAGAAGGAGAAATCAGAATTTTCGTAAGAAAAATCTATGAAAAAGACCATGTATTTATAGCCAAAAAGTTGAATAATACCAAACCGAAGAGTTGCAACTCTTAACCATCAAATTTAAATTATAAAGGGAAAATCAAAATGGAGGAAAACTAAATTATCGTTACAGAAGCGGCTAATTTGGATTAATATAATATTACTTTAATGTTAATATTAATTAACAAATAAATTTGGTCCATAACATTAATCAATGAAATCATTTGACCAAAGCTGAAGCCGAGCGAGTGACGACGATGGCACGAGACTTGCCTTCTTTTCAACTCTATAAGAGTTTGAAGAAGTGCAACTTTATATATATATACCCTCAAAACCTTTTTCCTCCTCCAATATGGGACAATATCCCTTTGCCGAAGAGGAAAATTCAAATTTTTTTATTTTTTCCTCCATTTCTTGGCCACCCTATTTTAAGCTATTACAAGCTTAAACCCAACAATTTACCCACTCAGTTTTTCTTATACAAGTCCATATGCGGGTCTAGGATAAACAATTAAAAATAAAAGCAGATGATGCAGCCTTTAAGAGGAACTAATTTGTTAAGATTTAACTTGTAGCTATTCTTCAAACTACTTGTAAATGGTCTTATTATAACTCAATTATTGTTATATGATGACATAAGATGTCTCGCGATAGTTTTACTTTTAAACAGTCATTTGGTTTTATTTTTACTAGCGTTAGGGTACGCAATTTGCGCGTGTCCATCTCAATAAGTATAAAACTTTAAAATATTATATTAATATTATTGAACTATGTATATCTTACGTGTCATTGTTAAGTATCATTTTAAAATTATTTCTAAAATTTGATTTTGAGATATAGAGTATAATAATTGTGGATAGTAATTTATTATAGTTTATAGTATTTATTATAATTTTTATTTATATTTTGGTACAAAAACTCTCTAGAAGGAGCGTTTGATTAAAGAGTAATGGACATGTTATTATATACCTAGATAATCAAACATAATTTTCCCAAAACTTTCTCTGTTTTTTATTTTTTTATTTTACTAAGATAACTAAATTATCTAAAATTAATTGGTCTTAATTCTATAACAATTACACATTTGTAATTAATCCATACTATTATAAAAGCACAAATCTCCTGCGCAAAAAATGCACACACATATAAGGAGTACATGCATTTTGGTCTATTAACCATTTGCATTTGACCCTCCCGCTTTTATAATAATCTAGCTTTTAAGTACGCGCTTTACATATGTACTCCATTATCAATGAGTACATAATTTTTAAAAATTATATAAATATTTTTTATGAAGACCAAATTGTTGCTATCTTTATTATCTAATATTAAAAATAAACAAATAACGCAAAAGTACTTTTATCATTGATTGTTCAAAACTTTGTTTAATAAAATAAAATAAACTATTTCATCTTTTAGGTTTTTTAGAGATGTGAGAATGAAGAGGCTAGTCTTACACATTACAAAATAAGTTAATAAAATAACAATATAAAATCTAAAATGACTAATTTTGAGTTAACAGTTTATGAAAATAAATTACTATATAAAGAATAAAGAGAGATGTGCTTTGTTGGATAAATGTAAATAAATTTACGAAAAAATAATATCAATGACAACTTATTTAAAATATATTACTATTTTTTCCTATTGCTTTAAATTCTCATTTTTACCAATTTGGCTCTTAATACTATAAGAAAATATTGCTCTATTGTATGGTTTCTTTTGTTGTTGATGCTCATATTATGGGATAAATTTATGTATCCCAAGAGTTTCATGAAAAATAATTTTACTTATATAATAAATTTAAAAATTCGAAAAACTGTTAAACACAATTCTTATGCTAATTAGTTCATTCAAACGTTTAATTATTTGTTCTCAACATTAAAGAAAATAACTCTTTTAATTCAACTTCTTACTATTAGCTCATCTTTTGCTTTAAATATTTAGTGTAATTATATTTTATCCAATAAGAATTATATTGGATTAAAAATAATAATTAGTATTTTTTAAAGAAATATTATACCTAATGACTAGAAGTTCTTTCCGTTAATGTAGGACACTTTCTAGGAGATTCTAAGAAAGCACATGAGATTTTCTCTAACCCAAAATTCAGAAGTCCATCATTTATAATTTGATTACAAAGTGTGAAAAGATCTTTTATATCCTATTGGAATTAAGATAAATAATAGGAAAAATTTACAATATTATAGTTATATACAAGTATAAATATGAAACTAACCAAACACCAATTTAGCTACTATATATAAATGGAGAAAGTGAACGAACTGTCCTACTAATTGAGTTGAAAGTGAAGGAAATTTTATTACTGTTAATTGAAAGCGCATTGAAAAATCAATATTATAAATAGTAAGAGAATAATTAAATTGTATGTGGTCAAAATCAAGGGGGCCGATTTCGAAATCTTGGATTGGGCTATGAGTTCGAGCCCGAGAGACTCAAAATGGTGGGCAGATCCCGCAGGGACACCAACCTCGAGGAAGCTGATCGAAGGCCTGACACGGTCTGCATCGAGGGCAACATAATCTCGAAGTCAATCAAGAAAGAGTGAGAATTCCACAAGGATACGTGGACCTGGGCATTAATTATAGGATAAGGGTTGTACGAAATGGTACAGGTTACTAGGCCGTTATACACCTGTACCAATAAAATTCTTTACCTTTATAAGCAAGGTACTATATTGGGGTTTTTTCCTCCTATATAAAGGGGACCCCAATCATTTTGTAAGGGCATCAGATCATTCACTGCAATAGAACATTCTTATTCTTCTCGTGTTTAACGTGCTCAATAATTATTCTTCAGCTTTATTGCCTTTACTTTATTGTTCATACTTTATTGGTCTTAGCTGACCTCGAGGTCCCTAGATAGACGAGCTCGAGACCCCCTACTATTTCAACAACATTGATTTGGTTTATTATTTCTTCTTACTTAAGCTCAATATCACTTATATAATCACTAGTATTAAAATATATCGCATATCTTTAAAATCACAAATTATCTTTAATTGTTAAACCCATTTTTCGAGGTAAAGATAAATGTCTATTCCTAAAGAGTAGGGAATGAACTAAATAATTATTCCTAAAGAGTAGGAGATTATTTATTCCTAAATATTAAGAAAATAATCAAAAAGACTATTTTATCCAAGGTAAACTCTATTTTTAATGGTAAAAAAGACAGAACGATATTTCACTAAGGGTCTTCGTGTTTTTAATATAACTAGTCTTAAGGTACGTACAACGTGTATATAACGTCAGTAAACTAAAGCTTGTATACAAGAAAAAATTAATTATCCAAAATAGAAAATAACGTGTAAATAACAGTCATTTAAGTGACAAAAATAAACGTGATTACATAGACATAGTAATTGGATATTTTCATAGCTTGCAAAGATAAACAGATCAGTTAAGTTAGTTATATATTATTTTAATTATAGGTATTTTATTTTATGAGATAATACTATGTTAGTATATTATATAATCTAACCCAATTTCTCTTTCATAAACGATGTTGTCGGTCCTAAAAATTTTAAATTATTTATTTAATACTGAAAGAAAACTGACGACTCTTTATCATTTAATCATTTAGATACGTATTGATTTACAATAATAATAACTTATCAAGTAAAATATTTAATAAAAAAAACTATGATTTTTTTAAAGCTAATCAGCATATTTAAATATAATTAATAATTTAAAGTTGTAAAAGGAACAAAAAAACTTAAAAGAATAAATTTATAGAAAAGGAATATAATTGAATAACATATAATTTCAGTGAAACTACGTATAGACATATAACACAAAGATTAATAGCAAAAATTCGAGAATTTAATGGAGAAAGACAAAAACCTCAAATTTGAAGGAATTTAAAAAATATCTTAAAAACAAGGAAGGGCTAGACAACATATTGGATACCTACATGGGATTTATGTTAACAAATACTAAAAAAAAGGTTTCAAAAATATGTTGGATGCCTCTAACATTATGTTGTTATGTCTCTTAACTATCAAAAAGAAAATAATTATGAAAAAAGTATGTAAGAAATTATAGTCATGATCCATAATTAATATAATTAATGATGGATTTATATAAAGTAGAATTTTAATAAATTTTAAGTCCTAAATATTAGGTTTCATGCGTAAACGCATACTCCTAAACTTGAAATAAAAGTGCTCGAGATATTTACCATAAAAATAAAAAATTCCTAAACTTACATCAAGATGGAAGTGCTCGAAAAGTTTACCTAAAATATTTATAAATAGTTAATAAATTTTGTACCTAGCATACTTATAAAGAATTAGTAATATTTTTCTTATAAGGAATTGATCGGTTCATTTTGTTTAAAAAAGATTCCTAAACCTAAAAGAAAAATTGAAAGTACTCAAAACTTTTACCTAAATTACTTATTTTTTAAAAAGAATTAATTGTTGAATGTAGGACAAACAAAAGGACTCCCACAGTAAAAGTAGTAAACGGCTTTTGTGAAAGACGTCACAAAATATTGTGATTTTTCATTGTTATTTTTCTTTTACTAATTTTTTATATTACGCATTTCAAATAGGAAAATATTTAATACATAAAATCTAATTGATATCGAATTTCTAAATATTAGGAAACTATTAAATGACTATTCATATTTTTAATATTAGAGTAATCAAATAATTATTTTGTGTATTGTGAAATCTATTTCTAAAGGTGCTCGATATAGATATATGTTGGACTATATATTTTCAACACCATTCACGCACAGTTCCTAAGTTTATGATATTTGTAAAATTGATTAAGAAAATAAGTATGACCTACGCATTTTAGAATAGAATCTTACTCGTAAAAAAATTGGGTAAGATCCACCGAAGTGGGTAGCCTTAACCGGATGTGTCTGTTAACAGGTAAAGCCCGAAGGCTGTTCCCGTCCCTGTCAGGGGAGATGCCAACCGTCTCTCCTTTCTACGAACACAAGCAACAGGTTGGTAAGGTATGTATATCAACACACGTAATATCAATAAAATGTCGATGTGGGATTGCTGAACTTAAAATTAGACAATCATTTGCAGTTTTAGTCTTCTCTACAATTGGACATTCTGTGGATCATTTGCAGAAACTGTTAACAAACTGTAAAAGCACAACAACATGAGTAGGGAGAAGGATCTGACACTGACTTTTTCGAGGCAGGCCTTCGACCCCAAACTCAAGAGAGCTCTCCATCTTTCCCCAAATTCTGACTAGTACGGTTCTTTTTCTCCTTCAATTTGAATTCCATTTCAATTTTAATTTTAATTTTAAGTTGAGTAGTAAGTAGCTAGGCGGATTTCGCGCCTATGATAGTGTATGATACGGAACTCGGAAGGTCTTCCACTCCAGAAGACATTGTCATTTCACTCTTTCTCCCACTTATCATCTCTTTATGGGACTTTTTCTAGGAAAAATAGTTGCATTTAAGGAATTTTGTTAGTCATGCATTGTCAAAATAGCGTCTGGAAAGTTACACTACATTTGATGTTTCACTGAAGGATGTCTAAGTGTAATGTAGTAGCACTTGAACCACTCAAAGACAGCTTCATAAAAAGAATATGAATTCAAACAATAACGTTATACAACAAAAGAGAACTACATGATTGTAGGTTTCACTCATAGAAATTAAACGATTCTTTTCTTTTTCTTTTTCTTCTTTCCTTTAGGCAGAGAATAAGGAGAAAGAGGATCGCGAAAAGATCACAAATAACTGAGATATATTCTTAGGATACAAGTTTTTATTAAATAAAAACCAAACACTCATCACACAATTTCACCTATTCACAGCAACCACCAATGCAGCAATACCTGATGCCTTATTGTTCCTTAAACATGCAGCTTCTGTATATTTCCTATTTCCTACGCTACCACTCAAGAAGGTGATATGGACGGACGATAAGCTTCTGCAGACACACAACAAATGCCATGACTTGACCACACGGAAGGATTCAGCTTTTCCGACCAAACAAGAGAAGTTTTCTGAATCCTTTGGTAACTTTAAGAGAGCTTTCATCAGTTATCCATTTTCTTCTCGTGTTATTTGCCTCGAGGTTCATTTCATTATTTGGAGGAGGTGTGGAGACTTCATTAGAGAGGATCTCTTGGCATTCTGTAGGCTCCACATTTATGTTACTGTCCTCATGCATTTTGGAAGCAGAGGAAGTCAGAGGATTGATGGGGGACGGATTACCATTCACTTGAGGACTAACTCCAATAACATCATCAACAGCTGCTGAGCTTTCAACTTCAGATAGTACAAACCTTACCTTGTTGGAACTTTGTTTCTTTTCATCTTTCAAATGTTTAGCAGAAAGCAAAGGTATATCCTTCTTCTCATTTAATGATATGCTACGTACCTCCTCCGTGTTCTTAGCATCAACAGTCTCATTACAGAACTGTGGTCTTAGTTCAGATCCGCGTTCATTTGACATTAACATTATGTCATCCTTACCATCTTTTACCTTCTGAGAATCAGATGCAGAATAATCTTTTGCATGAACTTTTGTATCCGAAGGCTTGACCTGATGACTTTTTGAATCTGAAGGCTTGATTTTACTTGGACATTTCTTACTCTCATTTCCAGCTTTTTGTAATGGAGCGATCACTTTATTCTCCTTTTGACTTGCTTTCCTACTTGGAGTAGTTTTTGACTCAATTGATCGATCCTTAGCTGTCCTTGTAGCTGAAAGGCGATCTATAGTGGAACTCTTACAAACTGGTTTATGTAATCTATTCGTTGCCTCAGTTGGAGCCTCAGGTTTTGGCTTCTCAAATTTTGAAGATGTGGCTGACTCTTTTGCATTCTTCCTTGTAGTTGGTTTGGTAAAACCAGTGGTACCACTTCTTTCTGCAATTCTCTTTTGACGCTGCAATAGTGATTGTTCCAATCTCTTTCTTGTGTCTTCGTCCTGTCAGTAACATAGAGAAATTTAAAGAAAAATAATAATAACAATGATAGATGAAAAGAATAAGAAAACCATCACTTGGAAGAGGGGATTTTAGTATTTCTTTTCCTTCTCCTTTTTAAGATATGATATGTTCATATCAAGCAGCTAAATGACATGAAATTTCTACCCATATTAGAAATTGAATGTTCATCTTCCTCTCAAACGACACATTTTTTGAAAAAGGTTTCACCATAAACATAACCGATCCAGCAAATTGAGTGAACATGAATTACACTGAAAAAATAGAGATACAAGGTGGACAAAAGTAGATTTTTATTAGATGTCCATGCACCCCAGTATAGAGACTGTCCATACCTTCTCAGCTTTGCTCTTTTGCAACGTGGTTCTATTACTTGCAGAAGGAGATTTCTTGATTCGTGAAGATATCTCAGATTTGGTCCTTCCAAGAGATCCAACTGAAGCTTTAGATTTTGGTTCTTTGCTAACTCCCTTTCGTCCAAGGTCCTTACCGATCTTTTTGGTTTCTTCACCATTTTGTGGAAGCTTCATATCAGTAGGTCTGACATCAGTGTGAATTTTAAGAGTTTCAGACAAGAAGACATCATTTTCGTAATCTATTTCAGGATTCCAAGAAGCTGAAACTTGCTCAGCAGTTGAAGCCCTTCCAAGCACCATGAAAAGGTCATTTGGTTCGCATGTATCAGAAGCATCAAGCTTATCTTCTACTACATGATTAGGCATGTTGTTCTTAACTTGTTCAGCTCCAACAATGTCTGAAACCATGAAAATGTCTGTCTGTTGGTGATAATCAGACGCGATATCAACTGAATGGGATTGAACCATAATGGAGTCATCAAATTGAACGCCATTCTTATCTTTCCCCGTCTCCGAAGCATAATCTCCAACAAAGATACTTTGATCTGAGATTTCTCCTTGATGTGTTGATTTATTCAGTAGATTACCAGCTAACCAATCCTCCTCTTTGTGGCTCTTAAGGACAACTGATTCAGTGGCACCATTGGACAAGATAGACTGAGGATAGCGATCTGACTCCTGTGTTCTATGTGAAAATAACAACTCTTCTTCTGTGCTTTCTCTTCTATTAGCTGGTTGAAGACTTTGTTCTTCCCCAATGTTATGTTGAGGCACTTTATCTTCATGTCCTAGTTGTCTCTCAGTAACAATAATNCTCCTGTGTTCTATGTGAAAATAACAACTCTTCTTCTGTGCGTTCTCTTCTATTAACTGGTCGAAAACTTTTTTCTTCCCCAATGTTTTGTTGAGGCACTTTATCTTCATGTCCTAGTTGTCTCTCAGTCACAATAAGAGAATCGGCTGATGGAGTCCATTGCTTTAATAAACCTTCTGATCTAACATTGGATGCAGGTGCTACATCTTCCACAAAGCTCTTTGACCCCGTGTCATTGGACCTTGAATCTGCATCTTGCATAAGAATGTTCTGGAAGATATCCCAATTCTTACCGATGTTTTCTTCTCTGGTAACTTCATCCTTAGTATCCGCCTTAGAAGCCCCATTTGAGATATTGCCACTTTTGTTTACCTTCTTTCCATCTCGTTTCTTCTTGTTGCGAGACCTTGAGTTGTGGTGCCTCTCCCATGATCCAACTGCTTCTTCTACCTGCTTTCTGAGGGAACCTGCATCCTCATCGGCAGAACTATCATCAGTGTCAGTGCTGCTGTCGCTTTGCTCATTTCTATTCGAAGCTATGTAGTTTATGTTGCGGATAACAACTTTTCTTGATGAACTTTTCCCATGCTTCTTGTTCTGAAGGTTGTCGATAGGCAGCTGCCTTTTCTTCTCATCCTCATAGTCATCAGAATCACTGTTAGAGGCTGAATTGTTGCTATCATGTCTATCATCTTCTGTTGAATTATTAGGTCCTCTCCCATTTGAATATTTCTTCTTGTTCTTGGAAGGTGGTTTATTCTTCCAATTATAATCTGATTCATGAACAGGACCTCGACTAGAATCTTCGGCATTTGCAGGCCATGGCATTCCAGGATAGTAAGTTGGATTAACCTGCATGCCTGGAAACATGTACCCTGGATATGGTGGCACTTGTTGAAATGCAGGATTTTGAAAATTTTGCATGTAAGGTGGTAGATTGTTTGGCCATATTGCTTGTGATTTTCCATCTGTAGAGTGCATTTGGATTGGTGGCGGTAAGCCATTTTCTGCAATTCCACATACAAAAGCAGCAGAGTTTAGCTATCACACAAGCAAAGAGGGTCACAAAATTGAATATAAACAATGTGAAAAGACTCATTAGTCAAAAATTTAAAATAGGAACATCTGCTGTTCAAGAAGAAGATTAGAAGAAGTATATAATGAAGTAATGCCATATTCATGGTAAACATGGCTGAAAAAAGTCATCATGGAAGTTATTTACGAAGAAGTTACAAGTGAAACAAACAAGAAGACAATACAGGTTTTGAAAATATAGACGTGTACCTAGATTAGTGTCTAAACTTCCATGACTTATGGTATCAGATGTCGAAGCATCAATAGAACCATTCTGTTTTCTGCTGGAGAGACCGATGTTTTGATTGTTCATCATGATATCTTGAGTAACATCACTATGTTCAGCAGCAAGCATGATTCCAGATCTTCCAAAATATGAAAATTCAGACGGAGAGTAGGCCTGAAGAGCTGCCACTTCATCCATCCAGATTCCGTCATCTCTCTTTTTGTTACACAGCTCCATAAATTTAATGCATGCTTCCCTAGATACAGGCAGAAGTATATTTCAGTACTCATCCACTATTGGGAAAAGGTACAGATAGTATCTGCAAAGTCCACTGGCCCACACTAAATTGGAATTAGTATGACATGGTTAGAGAGTAAGAGCAAAGAACAGAAGCAAGCTTGGTCAAGCAGTATTTTAGTTCCCAAAGATAAGGTGTTGTCAGAAGAGTGACTAGAGAGAGCAAAGAGAACCTAAACAGGAATTAGCTAAAAGTTTTCAGAAAGAAAATAAAAGCAAAGAAACGAGGAGAGGTTTAAATCAGATGGCTATAAACTGAAAAACTCGTCTACTACCTTTCAAAGAAAATGTAACCTAACGAAGAGATTTATACGTTGGCAGCAGAATGAATAGTTTCAGTAACTCGTTGGCAGAAACAAAAAAAACTAAAACTATATAACCCTGTATATCTACATGTCACTAGTGGCTGCATTCAAGTCCTACCTTAAACGTAGAGCTCCAAAAGCATTGGCAAAAGATATGAGGTCATCCAAGTTATCCATATCAAATCCAGATACCAAAGCACGGGCGTAGGCCATTGCTTGCTCTCTCCTTAGAACTGCTTTTCTGCTTTCTAGAACACGTTGAAGACTAACCCTATCCATAGCAATGCGTACACAGTCATATGAGTTGAGTCCCCTTCATTTCTAGTGATGTTGTAATGATATGGCGAAAAACAAGAGCTTACTTGGGATTTTCTTCTTGTGCAGCTTCACCAATACCATCAGATTCACCTTTGGACTTCAGTACCACAATGTCAGTTATTAATGAGTAAGCATGAGACGAAACATAGTTTTATCGAATTGATATACCTTTGGAAAACCAGCAGAGAATTTGGAATCTCCATCAAAAGCTGATGCATTTCCTGAAGATTAAATATAAAGAACCTCAAAACGGTGCATCAATCTGTTTCTTATAAATCTCAGTTGTCACCCTAAAAAATTGGCTGAAGCCTGTCTGTTGTATTGCACTGTGACAAGTGACAACACACATTTGACTTCATAGCACATCACATTAACATGACAACCATTACCGTCAAAAACTGAACAAACAAAGAACACAAAATTATTCCTCAATTCTAATCTTTTGACTCCTTTTGTTAATAGATGAATTCTAACCTTTTGACAAACCAATTCGTTATAGTTAAGAACATAATCGCCAAAAGTATCGAATACATCCCTTGCAAGAAACTCTACATTTGGGATCAGGCAAAGGAACGAGAGAGAGAATCTATGTAGACCACATTAGTTGACCA